CAAACGCGGAACCGATCGCGAAGTTCTTTCACAACAAATCGCTTCGTATCACAGCATTGAAATGGATGCCGAAGTCGTCGACACAACTCTGCTTTTGCGATATCAACGGACAGTTCGGTGTATTGACTGTCAATCGTTTGGCGAAGACAACGGGTTCTAATGTGGTGTTAAGTCAGACAGAAATGTCCGAAATGTTTGCCGATCTGTCGGACGATGATTTCGGTGAAGACATAACGGAAAACATGTTGACTAAGAAACCAAAGCCTAAGAGTGACTTAGAATTACCGAAAATCAAATTCAATCCCGAATTTGAACAAACCATTGAAGATCGTATGGAAAGTGCGGTTAACGCCACCGATGGTGACATTATGGACGACGATTTTGACAACGATAATGAGTTCGACATCGGAGCCATCAAATCGAGATATGAATCCCAGATATTTGGCGAAACCAGTGATACGGCCGCTACTAAAGCGTCTGATGGCCGTCGGCCTGACTCACGGATCAGCGAACGCGCGGTTCCACTCGTAGCCCAAGAAGTGGAAGAAGCGGAACCGTTGCCTTTCAGACAGGAACCGTTTCAATCGGGTTCGACGCCAATTAACTTCGAGCAACGGTTTATGGTCTGGAATTCTGTGGGAATAGTTCTCTGCTATAACACCGACGCCGAGAACTCTGTGACCGTTGAGTTTCACGACGTCTCACACCATCACTCCATACATTTGCCAAACACTCAGAACTACACGATGTGTGACCTGACGGCCGACGCTCTCGTGTTGGCCACCAATGGCGACGAGTCGGCCACTAGTGGTAAACTGTTTTGCATGTTATTGAATATATGGGACGCCACTAAGGAATGGCAAATCGAGATGAATAAAGATGAGTACATCGACGCCATCGCCTGCGGCACCGGCTTTATAGCGGTGGCCACCGATCAACGCTTTGTACGCATTCTCACCACCGGTGGTATTCAGACGAGTATATTCTCTATCGCCGGTCGCGTTGTCTGTCTGTCGGCTTTTGAACAGTTTTTGCTGATTATATACCACTCGGGGTCGGGAGTGCCCGAAGAGCAGAGTATGTCGTTGCAAGTGCTTCGAGTACAACACAGGCCCACATCCAAACATCCGGTTCCAAATCCTATTGCAGTTGCTCTGAGCCCTAAGTCAGAGGTCTCGTGGGCCGGCTTTACCGACGAGGGAACCCCATGTGTGGCCGACTTGGACGGAATCGTCCGCATATTCACTACCGGTGTCGGCAACACATGGGTTCCGATCGCATCCACTAAAGACAATGTGAGTCTATCTTATAGTTAGTTTAAAAAGCTTTGAATTGAAATATTTGTATGTTTTTATTGTAGGCAAAGGGAAAGTCAGACAACTTTTTCATAATAGGTTTGAGTGAAATTCAGAATCAGATTCGTTGCATATTCTGTAAGGGCTCCCGATATCCGGCCACTGTTCCCAAGCCATCGGTCACTCTATTGCCGCTTCAGTTACCACTTTGTGAGATGTTTACCGCTAAAGGCAAACATGAGGTTAGTTTTGGATATTATTTATAAATTTAATGATTATTTAATTAAATTTTTGATGTAATGTTTGGTTTGATAGGAGGAACACATTCGCAATCAGATGTTGTCTTCACTTCTGAAGAAGTTATCGAAAGATGGCTTTGATGTGGACTCGAATCTCGAGGAATGCAACAGAAATATAATCAATTCTCTCATTAAATTATTTGCTGTAAGTTTTGATCTATAGTTAAAACCGAATCTAAAGCTCAAGATTTTAACAATATTTGTGCGTAACTTATAGATGGCTTTGGGCGCCGATAGAGAGGCGTTGGCGGTGGAGATCAGTCATCTGATGCCCAACAAGAGGGCCGTCGAGGGAGCCATCAAATTCGCTGAACGCCAAAAGCGCAGAACTTTAGCACAAAAGTTGTCAGAAATTGCTGAACAAAAACTGGTCGAAGAGTTAAATGAATTATCCGACGACGAAGAAGAAGTGGAAGTGATTG